TAAAATATGATAAATTATATAATAATAATAATAATAATAATAATAATAATAATAATAATAATAATAATAATGATGATGGTATTAATAATAATAATAATAATAATAATAATAATAATAATAATAATAATAATTTGATTTATATAGCGCCTTTCCAAATTGATCCAAGCACTTCACAAGGACAACATCAGAAATACAGTAAGGGTTTACAATAATTACAGTAATTTACAATATTGAGAATACAATAAATAATTAAAATTGAACCGATATAAAAAAGCAATTAGAAAAATACAAAAGCGAACGACAGTAAGATTTACAATAAATACAGTAATTAAGTTACAATTATTATTTACAAATCAGAAAAATACAAGATTTAAATTAATTATTCATATTTATAATTATACAATATATACGGTATAAAAATTCCCTAAATCAAGTTAAAAATTGAAAAAAGGTTACAATTAATAGAGTATACTTATTGATATTGTATAAATATTATAGACAATTCGACATTCAAAAACTAATGCCAAAGTTAATATCTACAATTATAATTACTAATTCAATTACAAAAATATAATAGGCCTATATAAAAAGTTGCAATTAATAGAGTATACTTATTGTAAGATAATTATTAAAGACCACGTTAAAAAAAAAGCGAATTCCAAATTCAGTATGTATAATTAATTAATATCTACAACTAATAATTACTATTCCATGTTTATAAAAATATAATATATGTAAAAGTTACAGTTAATGGAGTATGGATTACATCTGGTAGGGCAGTTAGGCCTACCCTCTACAAGGTTTTTCAATTGCTACATTAGATTATTAAAAACACTCTAAGGCCATTTTCTCCGTGTTGAGACTAACTTTTGAGATGTAATTTTATTAGAAACCAGATTTCGCTAGAAGTCAGGTGTATGAAGTGTAACATGAACATAAAGAAGAAAATAATGTATGTATACCTAAAGGCTTATCATGATTTTTGCGTAGGGGCAAACAATTAAAACAAGAGATAAGTGCTGTAAATGAGTAGCACAAACAATAGATCAACAATACGAAACTAAACAGTCAAGTCAAGTAGACACCAACAGTAACGAGAACTCCCCAAAAAATTATGTCTGTAACTTTATGTTTTATGTACGTTTTCTGAGAAAACACAAACTTTTGTCATTTTTTGTTTCCATATTCTTTTGTAAGATAATATTAAATGAACAGATATTTGAACCATTCTATTCAGAATTTGACCAATTATATGATCATTACATGACAAAAGAAATGAACGGCTAAAACCATATACTTGCTGAGTATGATAAATTTTAATTTATAGCACTCGAAAATAGCGAATATAAAAAAATTGCAAAAAAACAATATCTTTGATATACTCCAACGAGAAAGTGTCCAAACATAAACATGTTATCTGAAAGCACATTATATTTCCTATCCGAATGTTAATAACCATATAACCATATATTATAAGGCACACCTTCATAATATGGTGAAAAACCCCGATATGGGAAAGCTAATATGCTCCCTTATCTTTATTCATCTTTGTTTGTGTTTTTTCTAATCTAAAGCGCTTCTCGTATTTGTCTTTCAATTTGATTCTTGTTTTTTGGTCCAATGTTTTTTTCCAGTTTATCATTTGGATGAACAACCACATTTTTTAATTTCGGAGTCGGATTCTTTTTATTCATTTATTCTTATTGGCTTTTCCCAGCATTAGCTGGAAATGCCATTGTTTTTGTTCAGACTTTTTTTTTTCCATATCGTTTTTCCAGGGAACAGTACTGTTCCCTGGTTTTTCCTATCATTTTAGGCTTATTCCGCCCTGCACTCTGGTCACTTTCCATGCTTGGATTCTTTTTCATACTTTGTCGAAACATAGACCATATATCAAGGGAGTGCGTCCTAATTAGTCCCAATCTAGAGTGGGGTGTGGATGTGAGGACCAATTAAAGAGATTCAAGGGAAAACACTCTAAAAGAGATTTTTCAAAAACGGGTCAACTGATCTAAATGAACCTTTTTGGAAAGTTTAACCAATTACAATGTCAAAATTATTATGTTTTGGTGTCGATCCAGTTTAGAGTGTAAATTTGAGGGTCATTTAAATTTCTGACTTCTCAGACCTAAATATGTCAAAAAACTAATAAATGGGTCTACATGAAACTTTCGATAATAGCTTGTCATGTTCCAACAATAAAGAAATGATTATATTTTGGTGACAATCCGAAGTAGGGTGTGGATATAAGGACAATTCAAAGAAAACATCCCAGACCAGATATTTAAAAAACGGATAAACTGATTTGAATGAAACTTTCGGGAAAGTTTAACCAAATTACAAGGAAGAAATGATTGTGTTGGTGACTATCCAATTTAGGGTAAACGTGAGGGCCATTTTAATTTCTGACGTCCCAGACCTAAATATCTCTAAAAACTTATCAATGGATCTAAATGAAACTTTGTATAATAATTTGTCAAGGTCCAGTAAAGAAATGATTACATTTTTGTGACGATTCGGATTAGGGTGTAGATATGAGAACCATTCAAAGGAAAACGTCCAATAACAGACCAAACTTTAGGAAGTTTAACCAAGTTACAAGGAAGAAATTAATAAATGTTGGTGACCATCCGGTTCATTTTAATTTCTGACGTCCCAGACCTAAATATCTCTAAAAACTTATCAATGGATCTAAATGAAACTTTCTATAATAGTTTTTTCATGCTCAATAAAGAAATGCTTAAATTTTGGTGACGATCCAGAGTAGGGGTGGCGCCAGCGGGGGCCGATTCCTCCGTCGGGGAGAAAAGCACAATTCGTCGGGGAGAAAACAAAATTATATGTATTTTCTACATAGTAGACTCGATAAAATCGATTAAATAAGCATTTGAACTCCCTAAACTGTCATTTTTTCGTGGGCCTCATCCCCCTGGACCACTTTTGAAAGATTTTGAGCGACGCCCGACCACGCCCACTTTGCTCTTCTCGGGGTCTTCGGCCCCCTTTCGGGGACCTCGGCCCCGCCGTCGGGCATATCCCGTCTTCTCCCCTGATCCAGGATAGGGTGTGGACACGAGTACCCTTCAAAGAAAAACATCCTAGACCAGAAATAACAAAAACTGACCAACTGATCTGATTGAAACTTTTTGGAAAATTTAACCAAGTTACTACAAAGGAAGAAATTATTAAACTTTAATGACGATACAGAATCAGGTGTGCAGTTTGGGGTCATTTTAAGTGCTAACGTCCCAGAATTAAACACCACATTGGGACCGGGGTTTTGGTGATCTTTCAGCTTTGGTCTCTAATTATAGACCGGCACTACAAGAGGGAAATTAAAGATGATGTAGTACATGTAAGATCGTTTTATTTCAAGTGTTTTGAATGGATTTACAGTTACTGTATCCTGTTATTAAGGCTTAACAAATCATTACTTACACCTGGGTATTCACACATCAAATCCTGCGTTCGTTCTACTAAATTTCCGTCATATTAAATTGCATTATGGGTATTTCATCTTTTTATTATTGCTTGCCAATCTGCTGATTAATGTGAATTTTAACTTGCATTTATGTTTCTTGCCAATTTGAATGTTAATGTTTAACTTTTATGTGATGCAATAGGATTGACTTTTTGATGTCGTTGAAGTTTAGCTTTCCAGAATTAGCTTCACATATTTTTTTTTTTCTCTTT